ACTTGGTTGTCAGGTCTCAGGCTAGCCCATCCATTTAGCCTTCATGTTAAAAAAGAAAGGAGTGGTCCATGTCCTTTACAGAGCTTGCAAGTATTATTTGTTTTTTTAAAATATGAAATTAGTTGTTAAATCTTAAAAATTGGACGCTGTCTCACTCTCTCTCTCGTGCATACACATGATGATTTACCAGTCTGTCTTGAAAATTCTGATTTGGCAAGACTAAACCTACATTCTTACAAAGCAGTAATGGCAGTAATTTTATGGGGCTTAAAAAAAAACACCTCGGGCCGGGCGCGGTGGCTCACACCTCTAATCCCAGCACTTTGGCAGGCTGAGACGGGCGGATCACGAGGTCAGGAGATCGAGACCATCCTGGCTAACACGGTGAAACCCCGTCTCTACTAAAAATACAAAAAATTAGCCGGGTGTGGTGGCGGGCGCTTGTAGTCCCAGCTACTTGGGAGGCTGAGGCAGGAAAATGGCCTAAACCCGTGAGGCGGAGCTTGCAGTGAGCCGAGATCACGCCACTGCACTCCAACCTGGGCAACCGAGCAAAACTCTGTCTCAAACAAACAAACAAACAAACAAAAAAACAAAACCCCACCTTTTCAGAGACTTTGCCATAGTAGCATGAAACTTTATCCTGCACCTTGCCTAATTAGTATTTTTGTCTTTAGGTATTTTATTTTGTGACCCTCATATGTATGTGATGTTTATCATATTATTATTTCTGGTGATTGTTGCCTTGAAACCTAACGACTACTTGCAAAAATTTTTGTAGGTGAAATAAGTTGGGATTACAAATGAGAGACCAGTAACTGATCACTTATTCTAGTGGGTTTGGATTCACTCCGTTTTATGTTGCCTTGGAATTTTCTGCAGATGTTCACTCCTTCCGTAACTGTTGGTTGCTTCCTTGGTCTGGGAACAATACTATCAGATTTACATTCAGAAAAACAAGAAACAAAAAAAACTTAGTTTGGGTGTGTAGTATGGATTCAAGAGAGTTAAGACTGAAGGACAAAGGACCAGATAGGAGATTATATAACCAGTAGGTACTTTGATTGTGAAGGTTAGGGGAGGGTTTTGGACTGGATGTATACGTTCGAGAATCATTTGCAACAAGTAGTTGTTGATTCAAGAGATAGAATACAAATTGGGGCTAGAATGGTATCTTGAGAAAACAGACATGGAAGAGGCACATGTAGGAATAGTAACCAACAAGACTGAAAAAGCAGGGTTGAGAGCTAGGAGAGAAATTAAGAGTAAACAATAAGCTAAGTGAAGCAGAGAAGTTAAGCAAACTAAGAATTAAGAAGTAACATTGGATTTTCCTGTCCTGATAATAAAATATTTAGTTTCAAGGATGTAAAGATTTGCTAAACTCTGGGACGGTCTATGTGAATTTATTAATGTTGAAAGAGTGGAATCTTGTTCGTTCTAATTCCAACCAAATTTTTTTTTCATGTAACAGCATCATGGAAAGTAACAAAAAAGAAAAAAAACCCCAGTAATCTGTTTATGAAAAGAAATAAATGATAAATGAATAATACGCTCAGGATACTTTGAATGAATATGTAAAATTACCATCCAAACTGGGACACTTTTGAGAGGGAAGGGGATAGCTGTTAATAATTACAATAGGTATGAACCACATCTGTCCCAGCTAATCCAGGACTAATGGTCACTGGAATTATAGTTCACATTTATTCAGTGCTTAGCTATTGTAGGAGCCAAAGGGGCAAGTTACCCTTGGCCTTCTGAAGGTTCACCAGAAAATCAACCTGCAAATGACGGATTAATTGGAAAACGGCATAAAAATTTATTTAACATGCATACATAGGAGCCTTCAGCATGAAGATCCAAAGATACCGGGGAAGTTCTCTATTTTTATGCAAAGGCTCAACAAAGTCTGGACAGCTATGTAGAAATATTACATAGAAAAGGGTGAAAAATATTACATAGAAAAGGGGAAAAGGGTGTGATTTAATGCCAATAGACTGAGTGGAGAACTCCAGCAAGGCCTGTCTGTCTAGATTCTTCCTGGCCTCTGAGCATGCATTCCTTCCTGGTATGGGGCAGGACTTTCTGGGGATCTGAAGACCTACAGTCAAATAGGATAAGTCTTAACAGCAAGTTATTGCACAGAAAGGTAAGGGAAAAATTAGAGTAATATTTTTAGGTTTTGAGTAGCTTTGGGGAAAGGGGGCTCTGATTTCTAGGACTTCCCTTGCGGAGGCAGGATTCTAGTTTCTGTGGCTAGCCTCCGGGGAAAATGGGACTGAGAGACAGGAGTGCAGATCAGAGACAAACTTTGCTTTCTGAGGCTACTTCTGAGGCCTTCATTTTGGGATATTGCTTTCTGAGCCCCAATACTACCAGACAATAAGAAGAGTTCTTTATTGGTTTATCTCATGACTAGTTTTAGTTGACATTTGTAATTTTTTCTTTGTATATGGTGAATTCATTGACATATATACTCTACATAATTTTGGTGACTTGTTTATTTAAAAAAAAAAGGTGCCCACTATATACCGAGCTCTGTCCTAAGGTATGGGAAGTGAAGATGATTAATACATAGTTCTAGTTGTTAATGATCTACCAGCATACTTGTGATAATCTGCAAATTAAATTTTAATGTATTATAGTAAAGTGTCATGTTGATAGTGTGGTTTGTGAAGACCTCAACTAGTATTTTAGTACATTATATACTATAATTTTTAGAATTAAGATTATAGTGTATTTGAATTCTGTAAGAAAGAGTTTGTTTTAAAAAGTTTTATCAAGAGAAAAGATAAAAGTACAGCTAGTTGTACGTATAAGTGGGATTTTCTCTATCATAAAAAGTATATTTCTGTGTGTGTGTGTGTGTGAATAGTTCAATTCTTTATCACAAAGGGATGCATTTCCATATTGATAATGTAATTTTAGCCACACTAAAGCTATATCCTGTGAAGAAGAGTCTGGCATACTCCTCTGACACATCTGGTAGATATGGATGACATTAATTAGCATATGTGTTGCTATAAATGACATGTCAGTTCAGGACGACAAAAAGTATTTGTTATTGATGTCAATCATTTATCCTTTGTCAGTTCAAAAAGCTTCCCTAAAGGAATGTGCATTGATCTGCACTGACCCAAAATACTGCAAAACCATTTCTGTGTTCTGGAAACTAAAGCAGAACTACCTGTGCTTGAACTGCCATGTGGATATATTCATCTAGAAAGTGCCTGTTGATAAGTTTCAGTACTAAGGCTTTCAAATTTGGCCAAGATTAGTTGAATCTTTAGAAAAGAAAACAAAACACCTACTCTAATCCCAAAGTCTAGTCTTCAGTGGATATAGCTTTAATCTTTGGTAATGAAATTTATGTTTTTATTTCACCTTGAAATAATTTTGAAATATTCCAGGTAAATAATTGCAAATATCATTTACATTGGTTAAAAACAAGAAAATTGCACAAGTATCAATTCATGATCAGATGATGGTTTAAAGAGGTGCCCTTTTGCCCACATATATTTTACTTTTTGTATTTTAGCTATTCTGATATAGATGTTTTTTGGCTTCATTTTACTATTTTCTCACAATAGTTTTTTTTTTAAATAAATACCACCAGTATATTGTGTTAAGTTTATGAGCAAAAACTAACTTTAAAGTGCTATCATACACATTTCCCCTAAACGCATATGTGTGTGGGTGTGTATGTATGTATATAATTTTGCTTTAAATGTTCCCCCTGAATTCCAGTTTATTATTTAGTGGAAGGGAATACTAGTGATTTTAAGATAAGGCAAGGGGGTGTGATCCAGGTAATGGCACATGTTGAAGATATTTATCTTTTTTTTTTTTTTTTGAGACAGGGTCTCACTCTGTTGCCCAGGCTGGAGTGCAGTTGCATGATCTCAATCTCGGCTCACTACAGCCTTTGCCTGCTGGGTTTATGCAATTCTCGTGCCTCAGCCTCCTGAGTAGCTGACATTACAGGCGCATGTCACCATGCCTGGCTAATTTTTGTATTTTCAGTAGAGACGGGGTTTCACTATGTTAGTGAAACCAGGCTAGTCTTGAACTCCTGAGCTCGAGTGATCTGCCTGTCTTGGCCTCCCAAAGTGCTGGGATTACAGGCGTGAGTCACCATGCCAGGTCGAAGATATTCATATTAATTCTTAAATTTAATGAGGCAGAAAATATCCATTATTGGAAACTTAGGTTTTTATAAAATTTGAATATAGAGCAAGTTCTCTTAAATTTATGAATGTTCATCTCACCAGAGGTCCGATATTCATATATCACATTTCTGTGTTCTTGTAAAGAAAGGTGGGATGTGTTGCATTTTTACATCTTATAAATTTGTTTGAGAATTAAGATGAAACCAGATTTAGAACATACCCAGGTTAAATAGTCTAAGATGTACAATATACCTTGCTTCCGTAGCAGTTTCCCAACCTTTATACCATTAGAAAAAATCTCATTCCAGATTTCTTGCTGTCTTACAGACCCTGTACTGTTTTTTGTCTGTTTCATGTTCTTAAAATCATCTTTTTTATTATTCCATTAAAATTTTTAAAAATATATTTTCCTTTACACTTTTCTAATCATCCTGTAATTCTTCAGTCCTAAGACATTAAAAAACCGAGTAAAAATATCTGATACCTAATCGTCTTTGCCAGTCCATTCAAACTTATGGATTTGCAAAATTATGTTAAAGTCTTTAAAAAATACATTTGAGTAGGCTTTTGTAGTCATTTAGATTTTTAATATTAATTTTCTCCTGCTATGCTGCTTAGCCATAAAAATGAGAAAGAAGATAGATGTGGGTTTCTTTTAGTGGTGTTAATTTAAATACTAGATTTATTTGTTATAATGTTTAACAAGGCAATTTTTATATTTCTGTTCACCTCATATCCAACAGGGGAAGCTTCAGCCCCCCAGTACAGTAAGAAAAAAAAGCAGATGCATTTTTGTAATAATTGATTAAAAGTATAATTTCCCTCTAGATCAAACAAATGATAGAAGTCTGTTGAAGCTTTGTCCTGACCTATCCTGGAAGTAGAAGAATACTCTGGAGAAAGGAGCATTGTAAGCACAAAGAATAAGATTCCTCAATCCTGAGAGAGAGAATTAAAGTCTAACTCTCCAAATGTAAGTCGTCTGTATTCTACATATTTTTCATCCCTCAGTTTTTATTGCTATTCAGGTTTTAATAGAAATAATGTGCTGACAATATTGTTTGGATTTTTTTCCTCTACAAAATATGCAGGTGTTTTGGTTGTAACTTCTAAATTTTGATTTGTGTCAATACTTACTAACATAATATAAAGTGATAACTTACAATAATAATATTTAATGTAAAATAGATTAATATTAATTGTATTTTCTGGTGGAGAGCCGTTGAGAATTTTGAGTATTCTGATGAAAAGAAGGAAATTTCCTTTGATATAGTATCTGCAGTTTTGCCATTATAATCTGTTTTTGCTCTAAACTTTTTTTTTTTTCTTTTCTTTTTTATTTCTTCATGTCTGAGAATAAGACTATCTTAATATGTCTGCTTGAATCTACCACCTGGTAAAAGATACATTAATTTCTTTATTCCCTCAGCATGGTGAAATTGAATTGGACTGAATTTGTATCCATAATCTGCTACACAAATGTATCAATTTCGTTGGCTCAGTGTACTGGAAAGACTGATTCCCTATCTGTTAGGAAAAACTTAAAAGATACGTATTAATGATTATATAGAAACACAGAATTTTGTTGCTGTTCAGAAGTTGGTAGACAGAAGGAGGACTGAAGCTAAATACTTGTCTTAGGACAATTACTTAGGAAGAAATCCCTTGTTCTTTGTGACGACTAGTTTTTTGAGACGGAGTCTCACTCTGTCACCAGGCTGGAGAGGAGTAGTATGATCTCGGCTCACTGCAACCTCCGCCTCCTGGATTCAGGTGATTCTCCTGCCTCAGACTCCCCGAGTAGCTGGAACTACAGGTGTGCGCCACCACACCCAGCTAACTTTTGTATTTTTAGTAAAGACGGGGTTTCACAGTGTTGGCCAGGATGGTCTCGATCTCTTGACCTAGTGATCTGCCCACCTCGGCCACCCAAACTGCTGGTATTACAGGCATAAGCCACCGTGCCTGGCCCAAAGCATTTTAAAATAATTGAACTAGATAGAAAAACCTTGAAGAAATACTACAAACCTTATCATTCTTTTCACTAACATGAAACAACTATTCTTATTGAAAAGTGTGATGAAACTTTAAAAGCCTAATTAAATTTGGTGGGTCAGTAGTGCGCTCCCATTCATGGTTTAAGGCTGATGAAGAATTGGAAAATAATGCCGTTCACAGAAAAATCTTGGTGACTCTCTGCTCTACAGAAATATAATGAACAAATTATAGCACAGATTATAGTGGCTGAACTGCAGAAATACAAAGTTGAGTGGAAAACCTCTACCCCCCCAAAATTATACAGTGTGTTTAATTTATATATATATAAATTGGAACTTAATATATATATAAATTGAAACATATACATATATATAGTTCCAAAGTAAACTTTGGTGTTTGGGGATGCAACAAGTGATGATAACAAAATTGGAATAATGGTTAAATTGTAGGTGGGTAGTAAATTGAGATGGAGGTTCCAGAATTTTCTGGTATGTTGGAAACATTCTGTTTGTTCACCTGTCTGATAGTTGCATGGAGGTTTGTTTTATGAAAATCTATTGGTGAGAAACTGGATGCTTTTCTGCTAAGGTCAGGGACAAGGCAACGATGTTCCTTCTCACCGCTCCTATTTCACATTATACTGGAAGTCCTAGCTAGGGCAAGAAGACAAAAAAAGGAGACAAGAGACATTCTGATTGGGAAGGAAGAAATAAAACTGTTGATTTGCAAATGCCATGGTTGTCTATGTAGAAAATCCCATATAATCAATAACGACATAAACTCCTGAAACTAATGAGTGATTAGTGTTAACACAAAGTTAATATACAAAAGTCAATTGCTTTCTCAGATGCTAGCAATGAACAATTGGGGTTTTAAATTACTAATATAATACTATTTATATTAACAGCAAAAATATAAATACTTAGGTATAAATCTAATAAAATATGTATAAGATAAGTATTAGGGAAACAAGAAAACTCTGATGAAAGAAAATCAAAGAAGATCTAAATAAATGGAGAGATAGTCCCTGTTCATGGATAGATGGATTCAGTATTTAGATACCACTTCTTCCTAAGTTGATATGTATATTCAACACAATCCCAGTCAAAATCCCAGCAAGTTATTTTGTGGATATTGACAAACTAATTCATGAGTTTATTCGGAAAGGAAGAGGCCCATGTTAGCCAAATAATATTGAGGAAAGAAAAGAAAATCAGAGGACTGACAGTCCCCAACTTTAAGACTTAGTATAAAGCTAAGTAATCAAGACAATAGAGTATTGTTGAAAGAACATAGATAGATCATTGAAACAGAGTAGAAAACTCAGAAATGGACCCACACAAATATAGTCAACTCATCTTTAACAAAAGAGCAAAGGCAATTCAAGGAAGAGAGGACAGTCTTTTCAACAAATAGTGCTTAAACGACTGGACATTTATGTGTTAAAGAAGTTAATCTAGACAGACCTTATACCTTTCATGAAAGTGAACTCAAAATGGATCACAAAGCTAAACGTAAAACAAAAAACCATAAGACTTCTAGAAGATAACATAGAGGAAAATGTAAGTAACCTTGGGTTTGCTGATGACTTTTTAGATACATCAAAAATATGATCTGTGAAAAAAAGTAATAAGTTGGATTTCATCAAAATTAAAAATTTCTGTTTTGAGGAAAGCTACTGTGAAGAGAATGAAAAGATAAGCCACACACTGGGAGAAAATATTTGTGAAACAGGTATCTGATAAAGGATTTGTATCTAAAATATACTACGAAGAACTCTTACAAATAATAAGAAAACATATGACCAGGTGCGGTGGCTCATGTCTGTAATCCCAGCACTTTGGGAGTTCCAAGGTGGGCAGATCGCTAGGTCAGGAGATCAAGACCATCCTGGCTAACATTGTGAATCCTCGTCTCTACTGAAAATACAAAAAATTAGCCAGGCATGGTGGCATGCACCTGTAGTCCCACCTACTCAGGAGACTGAGACAGAAGAATTGCTTGAACCCGAGAGGCGGAGGTTGCAGTGAACCAAGATTGCACCACTGCACTACTGCCTGGGTGACAAAGTGAGATTCCATCTCAAAAATAAATAAATAAATAAAATAAGAAAACATATAACTCAATTAAAAATTGGGCAGTAGCTCTAAACATATACCTAACTAAAGAAGATTTACATATGGCAAGTAAGCATATGAAAAGACGCTCTATATTGTATGTCATTAGATAATTGCAAATTAAAACATTGAGGTACCAGTACAGACTTACTAGAATGGCAAAAATCCAGAACACTGATAACACCAAATGATGGTGAGGATGTGGAGCAATGGGAATTCTCACTCATTGCTGGTGGAATGCAAAGTCATATAGCCACTTTGAAAGATAGTTTGATACTTTCTTACAAAGCTAAACATAGTCTTACCATGTGATCCAGCAATGACACTCCAAAGTATGAAATGAGTTGAACTCCAAATGAGCTGAAAACATAACTCCACACAAAAACTTGCCCAAGAACATTTATAACACACAACTTTAGGGTAACTTAGTTAAGCATCCCAGATGTCTTTCGATAGGCTAATGGTTAAACAAACTGTGATACATCCAGAAAAGGGAATATTATTCAATAATAAAAAGAAGTGAGCTACCAAACCACAAAAAGACATGGAAGAACCTTAAATGCGTACTGCTAAGTGAGTGAAGCTATATGAAAAGGCTGCATACTGTATGATTCCAACCACAGGCGTATGCTATTTTGTGGTGGTTCACTTTGTTATGCTTTGCAGAAACTGTTGTTTTACAAATTGAAGGTTCGTGGCAACCCTGATTTGAGCAAGTCTATTGGTACCACTGATATGGTTTGGCTCTGTGTCACCACCCAAATCTCATCTCACAGCTCCCATAATTCCCATGTGTTATGGGAGGGACCCAGTGGGAGATAATTGAATCATGGGGCCAGGTCTTTCCTGTGCTGTTCTCGTGATGGTGAATAAGTCTCAGGAGATATGAAGGTTTTAAAAACGAGTTTGGGCTGGGCACAGTGGCTCAGGCCTGTAATCCCAGCACTTTGGGAGGCCGAGGCAGGCGGATCAGGAGGTCAGAAGATTGAGACCATCCTTGCTAACATGGTGAAACCCTGTCTCTACTAAAAAATACAAAAAATTAGCTGCATCTGGTGGCAGGCGCCTGTAGTCCCAGCTACTCGGGAGGCTGAGGCAGGAGAACGGCATGAACCCAGGAGGTGGAGCTTGCAGTGAGCAGAGATTGCACCACTGCACTCCAGCCTGGGTGAAAGAGTGAGACTGCATCTCAAAAAACAAAACAAAACAAAAAAACAAAACAAAAAAACATGAGAGTTTGCCTGCACAAACTCTCTTTGCATGCTGCCATCCATGTAAGACATGACTTGCTTCTCCTCACCTTCCACTATGATTGTGAGGCCTCTCCAGCCATGTGGAACCATGAGTTTGTTAAACTGTTTTCCTGTATAAATTACCCAGTCTTGGGTATGTCTTTATGAGCAGTGTGAAAATGGACTAATACAGTAAATTGGTATCAGTAGAGTGGGGCACTGCTGAAAAGTTACACAAAAATGTGGAAGTTATTTTGGAATTGGGTAAGAGGCAGAGGTTGGAACAGTTTGGAGGACTCAGAAGAACACAGGAAAACATGGGAAAATTTTGAACTTCCTAAAGACTTGTTGAATGGCTTTGCCTAAAATGCTGATAGTGATATGGACGATAAAGTCTAGGCTGAGATGGTCTCAGATGGAAATGAGGAACTTGTTGGGAACTGGCGCAAAGGTGACTTTTGTTATGTTTTAGCAAAGAGACTGGTGACATTTTGTCCCTGCCCTACAGATTTTTGGAAATTTGTACTTGAGAGAGATGATTTAAGATATGTAGCAGAAGAAATTTCTAAGCAGCAAAGCATTCAAGAGGTAACTTGGGTGCTGTTAAAGGCATTCAGTTTCATAAG